AGTCACCTACTCACGTATATCTCGGGTAGGCCGGAGCACGCACAGCTCAAAGATGAGAAGTCACCTACTCACGTATATCTCGGGTAGGCCGGAGCACGCACAGCTCATAATAGATGTTTTGCAGCAGACCGTGGGGGTAGTTGATACCCACGCGGCGTGGGCCGCGGTGGGAGTGCTGAAGAATGCGGAGGACTGGATGAGCGAAGACGCCACTCAAATCTTCTACAAGTTCCTGCGAAGCCAGCTGGAGCCTATGTTAGAGCTGGAAAATTTAAAGCTAACCCCGTTTAGAGCGCAGAGGAGGAAGGGGCCCGGTGAGCCGGCCGCTTCAAGGGGTTTGCCCTCTGGTCCGGGGAACCGGAAACATAGGAAGCGAGCAGCTTGCCGCTTAAGAGATAAGATGAGGGCAGCAGCAAACAAGTTGCAGGAGCTTTAGTAGTTTTTTTTTGTATGCGAAGTTTCTCGCCATAACATGGAGTGGAGCCATGTCTTTGTTTTGCCCCCCCGGCATGTCAAATAGTGATCACGCGGTGATCAAAGGGAGTCAATCGAGCGCGCGGCCAAAAGAGCGCGAAAGTAGCCGATATAAAAGGGCTGCGACCAAGTTAGGGAGGTCTTCTTCAAGGTATTCGACCTCTTCGTCGTCTTCGAGTCTACTAAGTGCCATCCACCCCCCCCCTCGCTCCGACGATCTTCAAGCTGCTGCCCCCATCTTCGACCCCTATTCTACACGGATACTCAGTCAACTGTTGTTCAATATTCGCTGTTTCACTATTCGCATTGCTGTTATATTTTTTTTGGTAAGAGATCAATAAAAGATTTTGGATTTGTTTGTGACTGTCAAGAAACAAACGGGTCATCACCCACATTATCACCTATTCTCTTTTGAACTAAAACTGGGTAATCCGAGAATCACGAAATCCACGGAGGCTTGCGTTTGCGCTGCGTCCGACTGATAAGTATTTTCCAGCACAGGAAGTTATTGAAACAATGTTTGAAAAGGGTGCATAGTTGGTTGGTGAAAGCGTTGGTGAATATCGGCTGGTAAGAAGAACTTTGTGCAAGGAACTTGCTAAATTGTGAAATGTCTGGTTGCGCGCCGGGCGTTTTCTATCGCCCAAAAGGGAGTCAGACCCTTTCTGTTGACAAGTGCTGAGCTGCAGCTGACGCAATTTTCGGTAATTTCGTCGATTTCTTCACAGTAGGACTCTGCTGTGATGGTTTGGCCTGGTGACAAAAAGTTATAGTGGATCACACCAGCCGATGACCACCACACTGTGACCATAATCTTCTTGGTTCCGTGAGGATTCGGCTTTGGAAAGTTGCCTCGGTGGTTCGTCGGCATCCAGCCACTGTCCGGAACGTCTCCTGTTGTCATATATGATCCACTTTTCATCACAGATTCGGTCCAAAAACGGGTCGTTTCTGTTGCACAAAGCAATGAAAATGAAAACCTCGGGACGTGCCAATTCCCGCCGGTCACTCTGATTGTGGGGCACCCACTTGTCGAGTTTTTTTCACCTTCCCAATGCGTTTCAGACCATCCGCAACAGTAAATTTGCCAACGCCTAGCTTTTCTGCAATCTCTCGAATTGTTTGGGATGGTCAGCCTCCACAAACGCCTTCAAATCCTCGTCAGGTTAGTCCTGCTTTAGTCAGATCGCTACGAGATTCATCTTCAAGGTTGAAAGCTACAGAAGCTGAAACTTTGTCAACCCTGTTGCAACTTGCTTTCTCCAAACTATCTTGGGCCTCCATACCTACTTTGATTGTCAGAGCTGTCTCGAACTGCGCAGATATGGAGACCCAACTTGTAGTGAAGATAAAATACGTACGAGAGTGACTCTTTTGACTAATCTTCAAAAAAGTCTTTGGAAAAGGTGGTTTATTCAAAAGCATATGGTACAAATGGCTATTATGCCAACACAACAGCCGGAAAAATCTGATTGCAGGATGGTACGTACTGAGAGCGCAAGGGAGATGAGATTTAATCAGCAATGATTCCTAGAAAACATAGAACACAAAACGCTGCAGAACGTTTCCGGATAACTGAATACATACCAGAACAATGAATCAGCTTCGGTGACTACAAGTGTACGTCCTGCGAGTGCAGAAACGTTTCTGCCTTGCCCTTCACAATCTACAATGACTGTCGAGATGCATCGTGTCACTGTATCCATCACATTCTGGTAAGACAAACTACGAAAAGTCTGAATCGATTACCAGCCAAATCTTACCAAAACGACTAGTAGAATGTAGTGCAGATTGTCCCGTTAATCTCGAAAATCATCCACAGCCTACAGAGTACGGTCGGTAATGGAGATGACTGACGCCGCAGAAACTTGGCGTTGCAGCACCTCGAATCATTGCTTTAATTTTATTTTTTAAGCCTATAGTCACAGCATAAGGACTTACCTACCACGGCATAAACGCCTGGGTAAATGTTTAGCCCAGCGATAGCACCCGATGGGAAAGCAATTGCTACGATCTGAAAATAGGGCAACAGTCATGACTTTTTTTCAATAAATGCAGTTCAGCAATAACGAGTTTTCACGTACAAACACTATACATCTCTACTACAAAGTTCGGTTAATATGCCTTACCGCAGAAATCGTCCGGGAGGTTGGCAGAACATTATCCCCAGCTCTTCCACAGGTGAACACGAATTTCACGGCATTTAGGGCGCCTGCTATCTGTGTTGCGGGCACATGCGCCACATGTAACTTCTCTGGCGTCAGTACCAGGTCTTCTCCAAACTAGAGTAAGGGCTGTAGCGCGGACAACGGCAGTTTTTGAGCCAATTGGGCATGGATTTATGTTGAAGAAGTCAAGGTACTCCCGAGGGCAACGTTCTAGCAAAATCGACAAAGAGGAAAAACTCTGATGGAAATGGCCATTATTTCGTAGAGTGGGTACTGAAGAATGAATATTGCCTGAAAACACAATACAAAGGAGTTCGCGTCCTGCAGTGCAGCGAGTATTGAGGATCGCTCCGTAGGGCAGTTACCTGCTGCTGTCGTCCTTACACGTTATGAATATAGTGGTGCTGGAGATGGTGAAGATAGCTCCATCATGACTGCGGAACTTGTCCTCATCTGCCAGCCTTTAACCATCTCGACTTTCGGCAGAGCTTCAGCTCGTGAGTATATCCATTTAAAACAACTTTTAGCTTAAGGGTCTCTCAGTCAGTCAAACTATGTTAGGAGCCTCGAAGTTGCGAGTTATGTGGCACTGTTGGGCTTTCTATAAAAGTTTATGACTGCCGCTCCTAAGAGCCATGGTAGTCATTCTATCAACTACGCTCTCAACTTAAGCTGCCCAAAGTCTTGTTACAAACAAGGGGGAAAAAAAAAAAGATTCCAATAATGCTTAAAAAATAGTAGTGATGTTCGAGGGAGTATTATGGTGGCATGAAATATTGACGTGCATGGTGACTTCGGCTACGAACATCCGACTTTCCTTTTATTTTAAGATATATCCATCAAGCACCAGCGAAGGTCTCCTTTCCAAATTGACTGCAAATCGTGCATGAAGTTGCTCACGCAATCGATAGGTAGGTACGATAACATGGTTTACTTGAGAGAAGCAAAAACGGGACGAAATGGGCGGAAACGCTCGAAGTAGGCCCTAATAAACAGCTACAGTTAGGATGTGTACGAGCCCGCGCCTCTTAAGAGTAATTGCTGTGTCAAATCAAGGTGAAAATTGCTTTTGCCAAATGAGTTGAAGTAAGATATTTCTGCTACCAGTAGGAATTTATCCCATTGAGAGGAACCCCGAACAGGGAAAAAGCCGCATACTGTGGGTGAAACAGTGATCTGATCAATTGGTGCTATTTGATGATCAGCGCGGCCATTTGTTGATGTGTCGGTGTTGGCGATAGTACTGGTCAGCATCTTAAAATAAAAGGAAAGTCGGATGTACGTAGCCGAAGTCACCATGCACGTCAATAATTTCATGCCACCATAATACTCCCTCGAACATCACTACTATTTTTTAAGCATTATTGGTTGAGTCTTGCGCCCGAGCGTTTTCCACTGGGAAAGACGCTAAGGCTTCGTCAAAGGCAGGTACTCTTTGGTGATCGGCCTATCAATCTAAAAAGCCTGATGGACTCAGTGTGCCCTTTGCCTTTGAAGCGGGAGGCTGCAGTTTACCCCAGAACAAGGCGCAATCGTGATCTCTCGAAAGCCTTCACTTGACAGGTAGAAGTTTTTCATGGCTCCGCATGGAACTTAACAATGGAACTTTCTTGATCCTGGTCAACATTCCAACTGCTCCAAATTCGGGAATACGGAAAGCTAGGCATAACAAGAATCAGTGCTGTAAGGTGAATGACCCCTTCACTTATTACTAACGTCGTCCGCCAACCTTCATTATTAAAAAAAAATCCGCTGCTGGGGATTTTCCCGGGCCAACTACTAAAACTTCTTGAGCACGGGAGAATTGAGGTTTCAGGAAATATCTTCGGTGATGCACAAAAGAGAAGAAACCAAAAGCGAGTGATGAATATGAAAGCATTTCCTTCCTCCTCACTTCGAAATCGTTTATGGTAATCAATTACCTGAAAATGCCAACAGACACCATCTTAAGCGTGCTGGCCATTTAAATTGACATTTCCTTCACACATAAATTTGAAGTATTGGTGCAGTTTTCAATTAGCGCAAGATTCACGCTTCTCAACTTTACTGGACTTCTTCAAGTTTCAATTCACTTGGTAAGTACCTAATATAACATGTGTCTCGCCTAAATAGTACCACACATTGATACTTCACTGACTTCCGTCCATCCTCTATCGGTACTCACGTTGTCACCGCCTTACTGACTAATGGCTCTTTCAAGTACGGCATCCTCCTCCCCTTTTCTTGAGTCCTCCGTCAACGATCCTTAATTGTTGCATTGACTCTCGGAGGGACATATCTCGAAGCAGAAAACTTTTTTAGACGCAGTGAGTGAAGGAGCACAGTCTTATGCCTTTCTGACCTGGATCTCTACAAGGTCTACAAAAAACTTTTGGGAAAGTAATCTCGAAGCTGCTCAAAACGTTTGCTAGTAAACGTGGTGGGAAGAACTAGAACCTGTGCTGGAAGCGACTTATGGATCTCCTTCTTTGGAAAAGTGCTCACCTCTCCCATCAGCCTACCAATTGCTGCTCCAAGAACAAAAATGGGCATAAACACACCGGAGGGAACCGGCAGAGTCATACACACGATGGAGAAAACGAACTGAAAATATTCGAGCAATCCTCCTGCCTTGAGTCCAATGAAAATGTAAATACTCACATGCACTGTGATGAAGATGGTTAGAAGAACTAGAACATTGACTGGTTGACCAAGCCAGTGATCCGAAACACCTGTTTTACAAGCGAGAAATGAGGGTGGCGTCTCAGAGAAGGTGCAATTACTGAAGAAATCCCTCAGATTCAGACCGAACCTTTGCTGGAACAATGCTTTTTAGAGGTGGTTACATTGTTCAATTACACGATGGTGATGAATCTAGGAGCTCTATAAACTGTTATCGACCAATCCTTTGTTCTTTTATTAGATGCTAGCTAGAAACATGCTCACGTGAAGTTTGAGAGTTAGATAAATCTTGAAACTTGCTCTTTTTAAAAGGGCATGGCCATTTATCTTTCTCATGGAGACTTCTGGAGTGCACGTCTATCTCTTATACTTATCTTACTCGG